TGCGGCCCGGGTTCGATCCTCAGCACCACATACAAACAAAGATGTTGTGTCTGCCGAAAAAAACTAAAAAAAAAGAGAGAATTAAAAAAAAGTGATTTTCTTTTTTTTCTAACTTAAATTGTTTTCCTTTTTATTGGGCACATTCTGATTATACATAACAGTGGGATGTTATAGTATATTCATATGTGCACACAATAAAGCAGTATAATTTGATCAATTTAAATTCCCCCAGTACCTCCTCCCCTTTCTCTCTTCTCCCTACTCTTGATCTCCTTCTTCTCTCCTATTGGTCTTCCTTCTATTTTTTTTTTAAATTTGTTCTAGTCAGTTGTATATGACAATAGAATGCATTTTGACATATTGAAAAGTGACTTTTTTGACCCTCAACAATTATTTTTGGTGAGAAGGAGCAAAACCTTCAAATAAAAGGTTACATTAGATTTTAGACAGTATGTTGTCATGTCATGATAGCAATTTTCCCATGATATGGCTTGATTTTACATTATCATCATTGTTTAAGAATATGGCCTCTTATCTGAGGCAGAATCACAGATAATATTAGCCTAGGCAACTTAGCGAGACCCTGTCTCACAAAAAAGAGCTTGGGGGTGTGGGTTGGTGGTAGAGCACTGTGGGAGGCCGACCTTACGGGTGACTGAGTTACACTCCCCAGCTGGGTGCTGAGGCGCTCAGTCACAGAAATGGGTGTGCCTTGCTACAGCCCCATGGGTGAAGCTATGCTCACCTGTTCCTTTGTAATATAATCCCTTGCCCTGTTTAGGATAGAATCTTCCATGGAAGTGCCTTGTGTGGGTCCCCTCCTCTTACTGTGCCCTTGGGTGTGGCCTACCCAGGTGTCAGTCAACCTGCTGACAGTGGACATCATGAAGATAGACTCAGCCCCCTGAAACCTGACCCCTTGCCTCATTTGAATAGCTTCTCCTCAATAAAAGGGGTCAGCGTCTCGAGCTCTCTCCCTTTCTGCGGACCCTTAAGGTCAGAGGAGCCGTCACATCGACCTCAAAGAAAAAGGTATTTGTGTCTCTTGTATGGTTATTTCGTGCAGCCCAGTTAGCCCAGTTTAACTGGAGTGACCCCTGAGCCTTTTAGTCGCAAGAACAGAAATCCGGCAGAGCACCCGGATTTCTGTTCAATCCCTAGTACTGAAAACAAAATTTTATAGTATCTGGGACAGCTGACAGTCTGGGAGTACTAAGTGTTCTTCCTCCTGATGGGTCCTTACTGCATTGTTTTAGGAATGCTAAACAGATGTCTCTTTCCAGCAAATTTATGAGATTTTTTTTTTGTTTTTGTTCACAAGTTTGTGAATAATCCATGCATTTATGATACACATAACAATTATGAACAAATTTTACTCTAATGGAAGTGGGATATTTGAAAACAAAACTATTTTGTTTCTCTACACCACCGAGTTGTTTTAGGTACCCATTATTTTTGGTTGAGACACATTGACCTTACTCTTTCTTTTTTCTATTGTTGAACTTTGCCAAGTGATTCCACTGTCTCATCATTCATTCCAACACATTTACTATCTAACCATTTTACAATGAGAATTTCATTATTTGTATCAAACCTGCAATCATAGGAATCTCGTTTGCTTTTACATCCATGTTGTCAGTTTCAGAGGACATTTTTTTAGTCCATTTTTTCCTCATTATACCTATAGCTTTGAATCCAATATTTCAAAGGTTTACTGACAAGTAAATTAACCGTGAATAGATTGTTGAAAAAAAGCAGTGTAAGATTGTGAATTCTCTACCACTTCAAGCATTGCTGCCCAGCTAAAGATCATTGTTGGATCCTTCTTGAGTAGTTTTCCCACAAAACAAGTTAGAATCATAGCAATATCCCAATTCTCTGCATATTGCCCAGAATTTATAACCAAATTTTATGGCTTTCCCGCTTATAAATTGTTTCAGTGGATTGTGGCTATAATAGCTGATAATCAAAATCACTTCATATATTGTCACACATTCTTCAAATATACCAAATTCATGTCTGACTTTTGAATCATATTTATTAGACAATGACTTTTAAAAACTTTATCTTCAATAATCTCTCTTTTTTAGTACTGGGGATTGAATCCAGGGGCGCTTTACCACTGAGCTAAGTCCCCAGCCCTTTTTTATTTTTTATTTTGAGACAAGGTTTCTCTAGGTTGCTTAGGGCCTTGCTAAATTGTTGAGACTGGCCTCGAGTTGCCAGGATTACAGGCATGTGCCATTGTGCCAGGCTTCAATGGCCTCTTGCTATTCATTATCGTTATAAAAATGTATGATATTTTTAGCTCCTGAAAATTATTTCTGGACATTACATTTTTGATGACATATCCAAATATTCATCATTTAACCTTTAGTTTCTTATGGAAGGTAGTTTATGATAACCTGGAAATGTAAGAATTCCAAAAAAATGTTTTTAACTCATCTACACTGAGTACTCAGATGTATTCTTACTTTCTTCAGAAAAAAACAGTTTCTTTTACAATATGATAATATGTTTCAGGTGTCAATATTTCTTTAAAAATCTCCACTGGGCTGTGGTTGTGGCTCAGAGAACGCTTGCCTACCATGTGTGAGGCACTGGGTTCAATCCTCAGCACCACATAAATATAAAATAAAAAGACATTGTGTCCACCTATAACTAATATATATATTATATATATTATATATATATATATATCTCCACTGGATTTGAAAATGGCAGGTAATTTCCATTTTTCTCAAGCCCTCAGAATAAATGGTTTCTTGAATATCTCTAGAGTATTTTGGAGCTGTTGCTCTTCAAATAGTTATGGAATCACAAACTTCTAGCTTCTTATCTAGTGATGTCTGCCTTGTTTTCTGTCCACCGCCCCTGAGAATAGATAGGAATATCAGTAGTGAAAACATCAACATCTTCCCTCTCATTCATACTTTCTATTTCTGCATTTTGGTTAGATGTTTCAAAATGTAATTCCAGAGGACCTGAAACATCTTTCACTATTGAGTCAGTGGATTTGTCGTCGGTTTTACCATTATCCGTTATATTTTTTATGTCTGGTGGGATAATTATGTCAGCTGCTTCAATATTTCCGTCTTCAGAACATTCATCCAACAGACTCTCAATTTCTTCTGGGATTAGTGCTTGAACATGTTTTCTTGACATCTGCAGCAAGATGAACTAAACAAAAAATAATCTAATGATCCTCAAAAATATTCATTCAAATCATATCACATTTTTCTGTGTATTTCTAGAATACAAATAAATACTATATATTATGGTCATAATTATTTATATGACACTTTATTACAATCTTCAAAGAATCTGTTCCACAGTCTCATCTGCTTTTGATGAGTGCACAATAATGAGTACAAGAACTCTTTAGAAAAAACATGAAAACACAGGTTACAACTTGTCAACAAATAGCCACAAGTAGCAACATATTGGAGTTTAGCAGGAAGCAGTGCAGTACACTCCACATAAGGAAGAAAAAGAAAATGGATGTGAGTAGACAACTAGAAATATCCATCTATGCATCCATTGTACTTTTGGTTACAGCATAGCACAAAAATATTGTTTATATATCTGGCTTGAGACTATTTCTCAAAGTCAGTGTACTAGCCAGGGCCTCAGCAGAAAAATAACAGCATACAAGGGGTGTTTCAAGGGAATGAAAGAAGGAACTTTTACAAAGTGAGTGCCACCAGAAGAAGCTGTGGCTCTGGATAGAGATTTGGCCTTAGCCAATCTGCAGCCTGTTACACAGGCTTATGGAGAATAAATACCCTGACCTCTTCTCTCATTTCTGGCAGTGCCTTCCATTGGGCAAGTCCAACATGAAACTAGAGGGAAAACAAAGCCCTGTTGACTTGGCCTTTAGAGACCAGTCTCTTAAATCTCAAGGCAGGGTTGAGAGGGGCAAAGATTAATTTTGATGTACAGAAAATAATGAGGGCAGGTGTCATTTCTGCTGCCCACAACATTCAGGGAGTACACTGCACATTACTATACAATATAAATTGTCCCATTTATAGGACATCTATTTTCCACCATTTATAATTTGAAATTACAGTGCTTCCTCAAAATAAAATGACAACCTAGTCCTAGATTATACTTTCATGGATGCACTTCTTAAATATTACACATAAGTTATGTAATGTTTTGTTCAGTTGAACATTTAGAAGTAACTTTTGCAGCCAAGTTTATGCCATTTTTACAATGAATTTAAAAATATTTTCAATTGCTTTAATCATTCATCTATTACTTTTCTCAAAATAGGCCTCTAAAAATAAAATTGTCATTTTAAAGTTACTATTAAGTGGTATATTTGTTGCTCAATTTAAGTTTTTATAGGTGTCAGACATCTGCGAGGATGGGACAAAATGGATCAAAGTCTAACGCTGGAGCCTTAGAGATCAAGGATAGGAACAAAATGGAAATTGCAGACGTTCTCCACTGGGGAGTGGGCGGCCCAGGCTGCGTTGGACGGTCGTTAAGCCTTCCTGAAGCTTGGAAGATCTTCCTGTCCCAGCGACTGTAGCAAGTCGCTAGGGTTTCAGGGACACCAAGGGCAATTCTTAGGCGGTAGCACTGCAGTCTCACGCAGGACCAAACCAAATCGCTCCAAACTCCCTTAGAGTTCAAAGGGGTCTGGGTCATCCTGTGTTTCTCATTTTAATTTTTGCCAGGGAGGGCTTTGGTTTTCTTTTGCAAAACACATGGGCGCCTGTGAGTCTGAGCCAGGGTGCGCAAGGGACGGACAACTAAGTCCTTTACCACCAGAGGTGAGCACCGGTGCCGGCAGGTGTCTGCAGGAAGTAGGTCGCTGCCTTTGCTCACCCCTCCTAGGCCCCTCCTTCCACGTGGACCCCGCCCCTAGTGGGCGTGACCGCCGAGCACCCGAGGGCTCCTCCCCAGAGGCGGAGCCGGGGGAGGGGTCTGTGAGAGGGTCTAGTCCAGCGGGCGGAGCCGAGCGCCTGGAGGCCGGCGGGGGAGGCGCCACATCCGGAGGTGCTGGGTACTGCATAAAGCCGCGGCCGCGGCAGTTTGCCTCCGACAGCAGATCTGGGCTATTCTCGGCTACAGGAGCGGCTGCTCCAATGCCCCAGAGCGGCCATGGGCGCCCCGCACTGGTGGGACCAGCTGCAGGCTGGTAGCTCGGAGGTGGACTGGTGCGAGGACAACTACACCATCGTGCCTGCCATCGCCGAGTTCTACAATACGGTGCGGGTCGCGGGAGAGGGGATGGCAGGAGGGCCGGCGGGAGGGGGCTGTCCCCGTGCGCCGCCGCGCCTGGAAGCTGGACGTTCGCTGTGTGTATAGGAGCCATTCTCGTTCCAGGGCCAGAGTTGATCCACGCCCCCTCCTTTGAGCGCTCCTTCCAGTTCTTGGTCTGTACTCCTCTTCTGTCCCTAATCTGGACATCTGGGATCCTCCTCCTCCTCCTCCTTCTGTCGTTTCCTTCTGATGGCTCTATTGTCTTGTTTGGTCTCCGTACGTCCCGGAGCCTGGAGTCCTTGTCCGTCCATTCTCCCAGTTTGGGTCAGTTGGGGGCGATGAATCCCCTGGGACAACTCCCTTCCTCCCCTAGGGATCTCTGTGGCGTGACGCACTTGGGTCGCATTGTGCGTTTTTGCCCTGAATACCTGCTTTCGGAGCACTGGGAAAGGGGGAAGTCCCCCGCAGGTCTTAGGGGCTGGACTCTCCCACCACGCTGATTTGTCCCGCCCCCAAGAATATGGCAATCATGGTCGATTTTATTTTTGTCCAGAATCAGGTTAATTACTACAAGTTCTTTTTTCTTCCCTTTAATATTCCTACTCTTGTGCCAGCTCCAAATTCGTCTCCCTCAGGCCTGTGCTTTTTCCAGTTCTTAAGTCTAGGTGTCAAAGAGAAGTTTGGAAATGATAGCATGCGGATTTTCTGGACTTGCCTGGGTCCCTAGATATGGGCAAACAGAAACTTCTCCAATGCAGAATCCCGGGATTTCAGTCGTTGTGGGAGTGAAAAGTTGTCTCTGGAAGAGGAAATGCCTCTGTTTTTCTCTGTCCCTGTGGCTCATGATTCTGGTACCAAATGTAGGACTTTGCTCAGTCATTTGTGTGGCTTATCTTTTCACTGCCCGAACACAAAAAACAGGAACTGTGGATTTGAGTCATTGTGAATTTGAGGTTGTTATTTAGGATTTTTCCCCTTGGATTTGCCATAGAAAATGTCCTTGGCAGGAGTCAGGTGCTTATTGCCTGGACAATTCTCTAGTCCGTGTCTTTTTATTCCTAAGACCAGAAAAACAGGCTCTTGAGAGAGCTGTCATCCCCACATTGTGGTATGTCTAGGGTCACAATCCAGAAGTCTTGACTCTCCCTTCAGTACTGAAATTCATGGCAGCCTTCCGCACCAGCTCTTCTTCCTCCTTCTCCTCCTCCTCCTCCTCTTCTTCCTCTTCCTCCTCCTCCTCCATCTCCTCCATCTTCTCCATTTCCTCCATCTCCTCCATCTTCTCCTCCTCCTCCTCCATCTCCTTCATCTCCTCCTCCTCCACCACCAACTCTTCCTCCTTCCAGTTCTTTGGATTGAACTGAGCAAAAAGTTCTTTTGAGACAAGGTCTGCCTAAGTTGTCCAGACTGGCCTGAAACTTGCAGTTGTCCTGCCTTAGCCTCCCAAGTAGCTGGGGTTACAGGCATGCATGGTACCCAGCCCCCTTCTATTTATATGACCAGGTGAGTTGCTCAAGAAAACTAGGCCCTCTGTTGTTCAGAGATACCATGAAAAAATGCAGTTAGTGGAAGAAGCCACACTATCCCTATTGTAAAACCGGGTGGAACATGCTATCAGGTATATACAGGTGCTCACAGAGGATGGGCTGGAGTAGGTCTGGACATTTTCAACAAGGAAAAATACCAGTAGTAACTGATGTCTCCAATTTTAAGTGAAAAATACTGGGAAATACTAAGGATTTCACCAGGATTAAGGAAGAAATGACAGATGGATAATAGGTTTTTACACATCCTGCATGGTAATTATCTGTGGAGTCTGAGGTCTTCAGAGAGTGTCAAGCCTGGTTATTTAGGCCAAAAAAAGTTAATGCATAAGTGTGCTGAGCCCACCTTGAACAACCCAGCCCAAGACTACTGGATGAGAGGACATCTTGTCTTTACTTTTAACCTATTCCTGTTAGAGCTGTTACTACGTAGTGAGTGTCAAAAGCTTTTCTTTTTTTCTTTTTCTTTTTTTAAAATAGTTTTTTTAGTTGTCAGTGGACCTTTATTTTATTTATTGAAGCATAGTGCTGAGAATCAAACCCAGTGCCTCACACATGCTAGGCAAGCACTCTGCCACTGAGCCACAACCCCAGCCCTTGAAGGCTTTTTTTAAAGAAATGAACCGTTGATGTTCAAATACAGTGTATGTGGCTGATTAGGCCAGCAGATACATACGATAGACCTATTCTTTATTTTATTTTATTTTTGGTACTGGGGAACTTAACCACTGAGACAAATCTTCAGCCCTTTTTATTTTTTATTTTGAGACAGGGTCTCACGAAGTTGCTTAGGGTTTTGCTAAGTTGCTGAGGCTGGCTTTGAACTTGCAATCCTCCTGCCTCAGCTTCCTGAGTCATTGAGATTGCAGGCAAGTGCCACTACACATGGCAACCTTATTTTTTAGAATATTTATAAACCACAAAATTTGCTCTGGCAATGTGGAGAATATTCTATTCTCAGAAAAGAAATTGATCACCTGACTATTGAATGTAGATTTGAAGAATTTAGCAAAAACTCTCTTCCTCTGTGCTCCCAGGGCTCTACTTATCTTCTGATGCTATCACAGGACACACCTGAGCTTATCTTACTCTTATATTGTGATAAACACTTTGTTTGATAAATAACTTGTTGATAAACATCTCCTTCAATTCTAATAATAAGAAAACAGGTCTAATTATTTATTTTATAAGAAACTAATCATTACCAATTTTGAGAAAAAGTTAAAGGAATTGATGTCAAATCAGGAGAAGACTGGGAAAGGGATTTAGAACCTTCTTAATGGGTCTTAAGGGTATCATGACACTTGTACAAGTTCAGTTACTACTGGCTACTGTGAGTTATTTGCCATGTGTTGAAGCTCTGCTATGTACTCTATACTCACTCTAGGCAGTGGGTGCTACTTTTTATATTCACTTGATAGAGGAGGACATTAGGGCATACACAACTTATGTAGGTTGATGAAGCCAAGAAAATGGAAGAGGTGGAGTTAGAACTTGGTCATATGGACTATCTACCTAGAGAGTTCTCTTAAAGTATAAATGCCACTGTAAGTACCTTTTGTCATACTATAGATATTTATTATTCAGTTATTCTTTAACTTAAAACTCCTGTACTGGGACCATCTTGTCCATAGATAAAACTCATGATGTGAAAAAAAAATCGTTTAAAATAGTTTTTGGTATTGTTGTTTATTATAAAAGTAATAACACAATACATGGTAAAAAACAAACAAACAAACAAACTGGAGTACTGAGCTCTAAAGTAAAAAATTCCTTCTCTCCTGTATCTTTCCAGACATTTCTTAGGCATGTAGAACTACAGGTATTTGTGTGTTTATGTAAAATATGTATGTATAGTGCATTCTCAAACACTCAAAACTTTTTTTTTTCAACCCAATCAAGATTACACTATCCAAAACCTTCTACATCTTGCTTATTGCACTAAATATGTCTTGGGGATGGTTCCATATCAACTCAGATAGAGATGCCTTCCTCTTACAACGTCTGCATATTTTCCCATTTAATGGATTGGCCATAAGTCATTTAACCAGTCAACCCCATATCAATGAACATTTAGAGCAGTTTGTTTGTTTTATTGTTTTCATTTTGGTTTTTGAAGAGTCATGCAGTGAATATCCTCATATCTGCATCTGGATGCACTTTTTAAAGTCCTAATTTTAGTTGAGTTGTTGTGTGAAGGAGATCGTTCACTTTAAATACTGATTATTGTTGCTAAATGGCCCACTAAAGAGACTCCATTGATGTAACTTCCACAAACAGTGTTTGACTATTGCCTCAGATCTTTTCATTATCCTTTGCTTCAGCCAAGAAAGAATATCTCTTCCAAGAACACATCATTTCCTTTCATAGCATTTTACTTATTCATCTTTGAACTGTTTTTTTTTCCACATACAGATATTTTTTAATATTTATTTTTTAGTTGTAGGTGGACACAATATCTTTATTTCATTTTTATGTGCTGAGAATCGAACCCAGTGCCTCACATGTGCTAGGCGAGTGCTCTATCACTGAGCCATAGCCCAGCCCTCCACATACACATTTTATTGAATTGAGTTTCTTTTTATGTTTTGAGCTTTAAGGCCCCACTCACATAGATGAACCACTTTGGAGAAAGGTAGAGTCTGTCTTTTAACCACTGGACTTGCCCTTTGGAGACTCTTTTGGGGAGAAACTCAGGCAACTCAGGAACTTAACTAGTGCTGAAAAAGTCTCACAGCATATAGGCTTATGCATAAAATCAGCCCATGATCTCTTACCTATCCCTTCAGTCCCCCAAAATCTTCAACAAAGTATATGCTTTCTTTACATGCCCAAGTCCATGACCCACCATCTGTAGGGTAGAACCTGTCTGCCTGTCTGTTTATCTAAGCATTTAGATACTATTTAGCATTTAGATGGGCACACTAATATGGGCCTGTCACAGAGACCAGATCTGGAAAATGTCATCTGGGTAGTGAGGGCCATAACATAACAGTGATGTGTGCAGTTTTTTGAGGGTGTTGTTAGCACTCTGCATGGGGTTAGCACTAGTGGGCTGGGGTAGAAGGTTTTTGCAAGAAGCCTTCTGAGTTGGGTGACCAAACTCATCCTGAGTTTTGTTTGAAATTTTCCTGATTTTAAAACTGAAAGTCCTATGCCCTGGGAACCCCTTTCAATGTCAGGCAAACTAGGACAGTTGGTCACACCAGAAGCAGGAGTGGGATAGTAGAATGGAGAGTTAGTGATCGACATACAATCACGATGCACAATTTACTCAAGCAGGGAAAAAGTCCTTAGCTGTTTATGAAACTACTGTTCAGAAAGTTTCCACCCTGTGGTTTTGCTAGTATGTACCCTTTTTCTGGGAAAGTGCACATTTTGATGTCTCAGGATGAGATTGCAGTGTGTTCTTGAGATTATTTTGGAGCACATGTTATGTTGGAATTCACAGAATGAGGAATTTTTAAAGGAAATAATTAATACATTTTGAAGTTGTGCTTTTCCTTTAATTAAAAAAAAATCTGCAAGCATTAAACAAACCAGTTCCCCAAAGGATAATCCAGTAATAAGCTTTAAAAATGTGCCCTGACCGAAATATTCTACAGCTTCAGTGACCTGCAGAGTTTTGAAGGAAAGTTCATTTCTCAGTAGAGATGGAGCCACTGAGTCTCTTTTAACTATGACTCATTTACTTTTCTATATTTCATTTAGCGTTCCTTCCTCTTTTTGTTTTGAGGAGAATCTCTCTTGAATTTGGGCTTTTCCTTTACAAACATTGCTGTCTTCAAGAGGGACAGTGGCAGCAGCAGGCCTTGGTAGATGGGCTTTGCAGAAGCAATGGTGTGATTTCAATATATTAGACTAGTGCTCTGAATGGAGCTATAATATGTGCATTTAAAAATGATGTTAAAGCTAGGTAAGGAAGTGCATGCCTGTAATCCCAGTGGCTCTGGTGGCTGAGGCAGGAGAATCACGAGTTCAAAGCCAGCCTCAGCAAAAATGAGGCACTAAACAACTCAGTGAGACCCTGTCTCTAAATAAAATACAAAAGAGGGTTAGGGATGTGGCTCAGTGGTCAAGTGCCTCTGAATTCAATCCCCGGTACCTACCTCCCCAAAATGATGTTGAAGTGCTGAGGACGATGGCGCATGCCTTAATTCCAGTTTACTCAGGAGGCTAAGGCAGGAGGATTGCAAGTTCTAGGCCAGCCTCAGCAACTTTGTGAGATCCTGTCTCAAAATAAAAAATAAAAAGGACCTGAGATGTAACTCAGTGATAGAGTGACACTGGGTTCAATACCTAGTACCGGGGGAAAAAATTGTTGAAGTGTTATACTTCAACAATTATACTGCAGATTATACTTATACTGCAGATATAGTAAATGACTTCATGCCTTCTTGAATACTATATACATATATTTAAAAGTGATTAATGTATGAATTGCTGGTGGTAATATAAATTGGTAGAGTCATTTGGGCGACAAGTTGGCAGTAGATATCTATCCTTACTTGAAACAAAGGAGATTGAAGCAATGAAGATATACTGGGGTTAAAGTCAAAATATATTTTCCAACATTGTAGGTGGGACTGCAAGTTGGTGCTCCTTCCTCTGGAAAATGGCTAAATAAACTGTAGCCATCTGCAGGACTTGGAAAAAGTGAGCTAAATCTGCATTTACTAAGATGAAAAGGTTTGCAAGGCATATTGTCGAATGAGAAAATAATGCCGCAGAATGATAATGTTAGAATAAGTATATATATATATATATATATATATATATATTTTCATGTAAATGCAAAAAAAAAAAAGACTTGAAGACTATGAATCTAGAACATTGGTTACCTCTGGGGAGCAGAGTAGAAACGAGACTTCTGGTCTGTAACATATTTTTTTATTTTTATATTTTTTCTCAAAAGGAGAACTCATTCATGCATAGGAAGGGAGAAATATTGTTACCTATGATATAATAATTCCAGTTTTCTTTTCTCTTTTTGTCTCTGCTCCCATCTTTTTCTCTTTGCCCCCATCCTTTTCTCTCTGTCCCCATCTTTTTCTCCCCTTGTCTCCTTTTCTTCCTTCTATTTCTATGTTTAGCAAAAGAAAGCCTTGCTTTAAATCATGTAATGGGTCATATGTGCAGATTGTATGATGCAATTTGCAATGTTAAGATATCCGTTGAGGGCTGGGGTTGTGGTTCAGTGGTAGAGCACTTGCCTAGCATGCATGAGGCACTGAGTTTGATCCCTAGCACCATATAAAAATAAATAAAAAATAAACAAAATAAAGGTGTTTAAAAAATGACACCATGTTAAAAAAAAAGTATCAATTGAAAAGAGAAGGCTAGGAGTTCAGAATGTGGATGGGTGGGTTGAAGGTGGAAGTCAGGGTGATGCAATGGAGGAGCCAGATGGCTGCCCCAGCTTTGGGTGATTGTCTCTCTGACCTTGATCACTCTTGGAGCCTTTCTGGGCCTCAGTTGTATCCCCTTTTAAAGCAAGGGGTGGCTTTGAAGTCCCTTCATTTTACCCACAAATATCTCTGCTCTTTTAAATGGTTCCATTGAAAATTAAAGATTATGATCGCAACAATGAAAGCAAATGTACTGTGTATACAGTATGTCAACCTTTGTCCTGATTCTTCCTTCCTTCCTTATTGGCAAATTAAAACTGGCTTATTTCCAAGACTGAAAGTCTCCGTGTTGGGAATCAAACCTAGGGCCTTGTCTGTGCCAGGCAACTGCTGGACCACTGAGCTACACCCACCCCTCAGTCCTAGATTTTAACTACAGGCAGTAGCCCTGACCCTATCCTGCCCTGACAAAGGATTTTGTATTTCTCTTCGATTGTTTTATTTCTCTTCTACTCTGTCTTTCTTTCCTTTCTAAATACTGTGTCACTCACAGAAGGTGTTGGCTTCTGAGTTCTGGGGTTTGCTGAAACATTTAACTTAGTTGTGCACCATTGTGATTCCCCACCCCCAGGAACACCCTCTGCCTGCCCTGCCCCTACAGCTCAGGCTAGGAGCCCACCCTCATGGTTCCTTTGAGGTGTCCTCTAATGGCTTTCCTGTATCATCCAACATGGATGACTACTCCTTTCTTCTGAAAGCCTTTGTGCCTGTGCTTCCCAGACTTCATCTGCCCATCTCTGAAACCTTCTTTTTTCTTAAAATATTGTTCCATGAACCCTCCTACTCCATCCCCATCAATAATGCTCATTTTGACTCAGCTGTTGTCTTCACCCCCATATGCACTTCTGTGGGCAGAGTCCCAGGCAAGGCCCTCCTCATTCTGCAGTTAGATGAGCTTCAATCACTGAAAATTCCTACCTCTGCTCACCTTCCAGGATGGCCTTAGTTTAAAAACAAAAACCAGAGTATAACAAGTGTTAGGCAAGGCTAGGTAGGCCCTTGTGCATTGCTGGTGGGAAGGTAAAAAACAAAGCAAAACACAACAGAACCACGCACACAAAAACAAAACCCACATGCTGGAGGAAATAGTTTTGTAATTCCGTAATCAATTGAACATAGAATTACTCAGTGCCTGGGTCTGTTCTTGCTGTTATCACAAAATATCTTAAACTGGATAATTTATAGCAACAGAAATTTATTTCTCACAGTCCTGGAGGCTGGGAAGTCCAAGATCAGGATACTAACAGATTTGTTGTCTGGAAAGGGTTCTCTGCTTCATGGATGTGACTTCCTGCAGTCCTCATGTGGTGGAAGGGGTGGGCAACTCCTGGGCACCTCTTTTCTAAGAGTGCTAATCCTATTCCAGAGGCTCTGCTCTCATGACTTTGGCCTTAAAAACATCATGCTAAGTGAAAGAATCCAGACACAAAAGGTCATATAGTGTGTAATTCCATAAATCTGAAATATCTAGAATAAGTAAATCCACAGAACAAAAGCAGATTAGTGGTTGCTAGGGGTGCTGGGAGAGGGGAATGGAGAGTGGCAACCCAGGATTTCTTTCTGGGTAATAAATACATTTTAGAATTAGGTAGAGGTAATGGCTGACAATATGAATGTGCTAAGTTCCACTGAACTGTATACTTTAAAATGGTTATTTTTATGGTATGTGAATTTTGCTTCAATTTTAAAAATTCTTGAAATAAAAAAAGCTGGCTGTGAGTTCCTGGAAAAAAACAAAACAAAACAAAACAAAAAAAAAACACAAAAAAAACACCAAAACACCCAAAACCAAAAAACAAAACAAAACAAAAAACCAATAAATTAAAAATGAGAGGTGAAGTTCTAGAGTTATGCTTTTCAATATGGCAGACTGTGACCACATGTGGCCATTATCACAGGAAGCGAGGCTAGCCCAAACTGAGGGTTGCTGTATGTGCAAAGTGTACACTAGAGTTTGAATCCTTAGTGAGAACAAAAGAATGTAAAGCTTCTCATCAATAATATTTATATTTATTTATTTTTAATTTAAAAATAATTTTTTTGAGACAGTGTCTCCCTAAATTGCCAATGGTCTCAAACTTGAAATCCTCTCTCCTACCTCAACCACCAGAGTAGCTGGGATTGTTGACATGTGCTGCTAAGCCTGGCTGATGATATTTTAATACTGATTGCATATTCAAACTATAATATTTGGAATATATTGCGTCCAATAAGACACACTATTAAATTAAAGAACGGAATGCTCAGTTTATCTTTTTTTTTTTTCCCCTTCAGTGCCAGGATTGAACCCAGGGCCTCATGCATACTAGGCAGGTACTCTGCCACTGAGCTACATCACCAGCTCCTATAATGATCTCATTTGAAAGTTGGGAAGAAAATTACAAATTTGATCTTTACTAAAGATATGTTTAAGAAGAGAAAGCTGAAAAAGGGTGACTAAGGAGAAAGAGATCTGATGTATTGTGAGCCTGGGAAAAAGGGCTGGTCTTGTTGGCAGAAGATTGTTGGGAGCAGCTGGATGTGGTAGCACATGCCTGTCTGTAATCCCAGCTACTTGGAAGGCTAAGGCCGGAGGATTACAAGTTCAAAGCCAGCCTCAGCAATTTAGCGAAGCCTTAAGCAACTTAGTGAGAGCCTGTCTCAAAATAAAAAATGGGCTGGGGAATGTGGCTCAGAGGTTAAGTGACCCTAGGTTCAATCTCTGGTACGAAAAAAAAAAATCATTATTTAGTATAGACCTTATCTTTAAAAAGATAATTACAAGTAAGAATGCTTCGTAATTAATCTGTGCACAAAAACATCTTTTTGTTTTGCAATTTATTTTTCCTCCAGATCAGCAACGTCTTGTTTTTCATTTTACCGCCCATCTGCATGTGCTTGTTTCGTCAGTATGCCACATGCTTCAACAGTGGCATCTATTTAATATGGACTCTCCTAGTAGTAGTTGGTAAGTGGATCATGTGGGAACGTGAACTGAAAGGGAGGAAATGGGATTCTGCACTTTTCCTGTCCCCTTTGAACACAGTGTTTTATAAACCAAAGCCACTGTGACGTCTTAGTAAACTCTTTCACTTGCTTGGCAGCAAAAGTAAGAGTCAGGAGTCTCGAATGCAGGCTTGATAACAAGGCTGGCTGTCGTTATCTCCTGGCTGTGTTTGAGACTTCTTTGTGAATTAGCCATTCATGTTGTGCCAGTGCAATTCTCTGAAGAAAGTTGTGTGAAACAATTGAATTCTGGTGAGACTGTGGTTTCCAATGCACTTAAATTGAAAAACAAAATACAAAAACAAAAAAACTAGACATTGTGTCCCTCATTGTTTTGTGAAATTCTTGTGCAATTTCCATTTCCTCTCCTAGGCAGGTTGGGAATTCTTAACAGTGAAACAATGTTGACTTTTATTTACTGCCTGTTCCCACAAAGGCTCTGTGGATGAAAACATTGTACTTAACTGTGCAATTATTACTGTTCTGATGTGCTGGTATTTGGGCTGTATTTGAAATCCTCTTGCTAGGCTTGAGTGAAGTCTGCATGTGTTGGTGGTGTGAGTTTCTTAAGAGATCTGGCGATTCTGATAACAGTTAGGGAAGGGCTTTCTTAGGCAGTGAATTGAATTTGTAGTCTGTTCTTCTGTGGTGACCTTTTTTTTTTTTTTTTTGTTATAATTTGCTATAGGAATTGGATCTGTCTATTTCCATGCAACCCTAAGTTTCCTGGGTCAGATGCTCGATGAGCTTGCAATCCTTTGGGTTCTGATGTGTGCTCTGGCCATGTGGTTCCCCCGAAGGTATCTGCCAAAGATCTTTAGGAATGACAGGTAAGCTTATGTTGAACACTTTTGCTCTTTGCACAGTGTGTATGCACATCAAGAAAAATAGCTGATGATTGAGCTTAACCTAGTGATAAAAATCATATATTTGTTTAATGTCCATTGATTTTTATGATCTGACAGTACAATTAAACTGACAGATAAAAGAAGACGAGTTCATAACACTTGGGAAAGAATTTATAAAATGGTAGAGACAAAAAGTCAAATATCTAATACTTGTCTGATACAAGCAACAGTGGAAAGACATTCAATGGGAGAGAAATTTTGGGATAGTAGCTCAAACACCTTTGATTTCCTGCTAGAACTTTTCTTTGAATGCAATCCAACTCCAGCAGTGCTATACATATAAAGTAGAATCCACGCTGATGATCTGATTCTTGGAGCTATAGAGCTGGTTTTCAAATTGCATTGTTTTTTTTTGGCTTCTGATCACACACATACACACACAAACACACACACACACACATACACACAGGCATGCATGCACACACACACACACACACACACATATTTCCAAGCAGGAAACCCAAGAATATCAGGAAGAGATGCATTTTAATATCCATTGTATTAAGGCTTTATAATAATAAATAGTAAATATTTATTATTTAATAATAAATAGTAAATATATTTAAACACTTATTTTATACCATGCACTTTTCTAAGTACTGGGAGGTAGGAGTAAACAAAATGACAGGGTTTCTGCTTCTAAAGAGCTTGTACTGAAGTTGAGAGTCTATAAATCAACAAACAAATAATGTCATGTTAGAGCGTGAGAAGGGCTATGTTGAAAAAGCGAGGGTGGGAAGGATGTAGCGGTGGCTTGGGGTGCTGTCTTCGAGTCTGGTCAGAGAGAGCTCTGCTGAGGAGTTGTGTGAGGTTTGTTACCATTTGCAGGCAGAGGAGAGGCAGGCTAATAAAGATGAGAAATGTCCCCCAAACACATCACCCACATATTACTCTGCAGAACATGGTGGTTTATTGAAATACATGCAGTCTATGGATGAATAAAATATGGATTAATGAAGCAAGCAGGGAAGAGTTATGCCAGGAGAACAAAATAATTCATTATAGTTTTTCTGGAACTCTGAAAAGGAGCAGGAGCTATGCAGCGGTTGAAGACTGAGGCTGCTCCAGTGGGCTGAGGTGGAGGAGTGTCTATGGAAATACTGGCTGCAAAGAGCACATTCTAGAATTGTGTGTCAGATATCCTAATTTTAGAATGAATGAGTTAAATTCTTCTTGAGTATGTTTTTCTATGTGCACAAACATGTCTGGGAGGATGGGGATGCCGTGCTCCTGCCATTGGCTATTCTTGAGCATTGTGGCAGAGAAGAGCTTCAACTTGCACTTTTATCTTTAGTTTGAACTGGCTTGGATTTTTTTTTTTAAACAAGGAGCACATGTTAATTTTAACACTAAAATTTTCTTTTTAAATGAAGTAGGGAGAAAACACACTTTAAGTGGATTAGCTGTAAAGCCTTTATCCTGGGAAGTAGGACTTGAATTACATAGTGTTATCTTTGAGTATCATCTAACAGATAGAAATACCCTCAAGAAGTTTACTTAACAAAAAAAAAAAAATGAGAAGGAATGAAATTCCTGGTTTTGAATTAAATGTGGTCTCTATCTTGCTGAGGCTTTCTAGTTAGCAGAGAAAGGATGCTTAAGTTTTTTTTTGGGTGTGTGTGTGTGTGTGTGTGTGTGTATGTATGTGTGTGCTAAGAATAGAACGCATGCACATGCCTTGCACATGCTGAGCATCTATTTAACCACTGAGCTACAGCTCCAGCCCCAGAAAGTTGCTTTAAAATGTTGGTTTCAGCTATCTCCTGTTCCTTGTTCTTTGGTTTCTTTGTTCAGCTTTAGGAGAAACCTAGTAAGGGCAGGGGAGTGGGTGTGAGCAGCAGGCAGGGTCAGAAGGTGTTTTCATAGGCAGGAACTTTGTGACTGCCTAAAAAGCAAACCATTTGCCTTTTGGCCCTTCTTACTCTCTCCCAAGGTGCCTTGCCAGTCCCAGTGTCCTTTCCTGGAGCCTGGTGCATTCTGCAGTAGATTTAAGAGGTAGGCCAGAAAAAGAATTCATATCAAAAAACTACTTTTCCTTCAGAACTCACCTCAAGTCTGGGGACCCAAGTGAGGAACTGAAGAAATGGAAATAAGGGTTTTATTTATGTTGCATTCTGGAGACTTGGGTTGAGATTCCTAGTGACAGGGGTTGGGGATGTAGCTCAGTGGTAGAGTGCTTTCCTCATGCCCAGTGTGAAGCCTTGGGTTCAATCCTCAGCAACACACAACATACACCCCCACACACCCACACCCACCCACACACACAAAACCCAAGTGACAGCTTTAATTGCGTTAATTATATAAAAAAAGTTTCTTTTTGTTTCTTAGAGGTAGGATTAGCGGCATGTTGTTATGAACAGGAAAAGAAAATGGGGTAATGCATTGGTAATTAAAGCTTCCTAACTTTAATAATGAAAACATACTACGAGGCAGAGATGTCTGTGGCCATGTGGGATTTTTCTATCACTAGTACGATGTGGCATTTCTCTGGGGAAGAGGTAAAGATATGACTGCTCTGTCCTCATATGGGGAGGGTCCTTTTAAGATGCTGAATACCACATATGTATGAGTCCATGGCTCTGGGTACCATTCAGATTTGAATGTCAGCCTTACTGCTTACAAACTATATATCTAGTCTTGACTCTGCTTTTTCATCTGTAATTGTAGGTAATAAATAGTACTTACCTCAGGGTTCTTTGAGATGATCCTGAAGAGCACTCTGTACAGTACTAAGTGACATGGCCAGTACTCAAATTAGCTCATAATGCTGCCAGTGGTGAACAGAGAAGAGAGTTCAGTCTAGGATTTTTGAGATATGTGCACAAATGCAGGAAGAGAATTGCCATGGAGAATTTTTATGAACAAAGAAAAAATGGTGTATGTTAAGGGAAAAAATAAGGATTTCAGATCAATTTGTCTGTCTTCACTTTGCCAGTGATGGTCAGACCTTTTTGCATGGGCTTCCCTGCCCATGGCAGGGACAGGTGGATGTTCTGCAGTAGAATTAAGTGTCAGGCCATAAAAAGAATTCATATCAAAAGCAGGATTTCTGTAGACCAGGATTGCCTGGGTTGGCTGCCTTAACTTACTAGATAGTTAATATTTATTTACCTGCCTCATTTTTTTTCTAGACTTTGCTGGAATATTCCTAACACATGTAAAGAGTAGTTCCAGCTGGATGTAATGGTGTAAGCATGTAAATCCAGCTACATGGGAGGCTGAGGCAGAAGGATCCCAAGTTTGAGGCAAGCCTGGGCAACTTAACAAGATTCTGTCGTAGAAGAAAAAGCATAAAAGGGTTGGGGATGTAGCTTAGTGGTAAAGTGCCCCTAGATTCAATTCCAGTACTGAGGGAAAAAAAAAAAGTAGTTCCAGTGTGAGATTTTTAGAGAAGAGGAAGTAGAGTACCGTGGCTAAATGAGTTTGGATCACATAGACAGATATGGCTTTGAATCATAATCCATTTTTCCCTGTAAAACTCTGGTACCTTATTTTGCTCACTGTAAAGTAGAGGTAGTAAAATTAGCTACTTCATGGGATCAGAAATAAATGAGAAAATGAAATGATGTGTATAGTATAGTGGTGCCTCATACGAATAAGAACTCAATAAGTACGAACACTTATTAGCCATTACAAATGGCTGAATAAGTGGGAAATAAGCATGTTTAGATTAAATAGGTAAATTATTAACATTCATTTTGTCAATAAGATTGGTGGATTAAAAGAAAGGCTTTCTTTTATCTTGCTTAGCATCTTTAGTATATACACTCAGCTGTTAATGGTTATTAATAATTTTATATATTTTTGTTTTGAGAAAAAACAAAAATAATTTATCTTGATATGTGCTTTTTATTATTTGCCTCCACAGAATCCAGGAAAAACTCTCACTTTATAACCCACTTCATTTCTGAATCGTATAGCAAGGGAATAGGCTGAGATCTACCTGTCCTTCTAGTTCAGTTGCCAGACATCCTGGGGCTGGAATCTTAAACTCTCTGGGCCTTTCCTCATTGATTTTGAAATGACAGGGTTGCACTTTTTTCTGAGATCTCTTCTAGGGTCAAATGCTGTACTACTGTAAATATCAAGGCTTTCTATTATAAATAGGTTATGCTCTATTCCTAACAGTTAGTGGATCCTAACCAGGAATATTTCCTTCTCTTAAGGGACATTTGGGAAGTTTGTGGACATGTATTTGGTGGTCACAATGATGGCAGGTTTTATCATCCATAAATTCCATATTATTTCAGAAGAGTTAAAGGGACACTACCAAATATTTAATATAAAAAAGGAGTATGACAGGGTTTGATAGGGTTGAAAACCACTGGATTAAGGGTAGCTAATGATTTTAGTCACATATTTGTTATTATAATATTATGATAATGGCACTGGGTAGCCAGATTTTGGTTTGGAGAAAAAAGGAAGAAGAGAGTACCATGGGTTCCCTGAACTTGTGTTCCAGTATGAGATCCTATGGGCTGGAAAACTGAAAACAGGATGAAATACTGATTTACAGTTTAGAAAACACCCTGTCAGGCCCCTCTTCTCTGGAAATTTCTAGAGTTGTTGAAATCTGTTGTCCCAGGGACCTCTGATAACTTTGGTCTGCTGGGCTATCTGGCTTTCTGTTGGCCACATGACCTCTGTTTACTTTTGCTGGTTGCAGAATTGTGTGTTCACGGGATGTCCTCATTGGCCAGAACATTCCTCCACACTCTCTGGACCTGATGTGGGGAGATGTCTGTGGATAGTCTCCTTAAAAACATGTTTCATCAAGCCCAAGCCTTTGAACAATTTGGCAATGTTATACAGAGACCCTGGGGATTGCAGCACAGGCTCTGCCAGATTCTTCCTGAGAGTGTGATATTATCAACAAGAATAATATTTTTTAAACAGTATTTGTCCTCAAAATGATGATAAAGAGAATGGTAATAGTTGTTTTCTTAATACATAACATGTACCAGGCACTGTTATGTGCTTTCATGCTTACAAGAATATCATGGGTACTGGTGCTTTCATGTTTTTACATGGGAAAGATTTGAAGAGTTGTGGGCTGTAGTTGTAGCTCAGTGGTAGAGCACTTGCTTAGCATGTGTGAGGCACTGGGTTTGATCCTCAGCACCACATAAACATGAATAAATAAAAATAAAGATATTATGTCCATCTGCAACTAAAAAAAAAAAACAGACTTGAAAAATTGTTACTTTCTAAAGGCTCCACAGCTACTAAGTGATTAGGGCAGGATTTGAACACCCAAATGTCTAGCTGAAACACCTTGCCTTTAAAAAAAAAAAAAAAAAAAATATATATATATATATATATATATATATATATATATTAGTTATATATAGATCTTTATTTTATTTATTTATATGTGGTGCTGAGAATCAAACTCAGTGCCTCACACATGTTAGACAATGTGCTCTACCACTAAGCCACAACCCCAGTCTAACACCTATGTTTTTAATCACCCTGTTCCCCAGTCTTACCTGTAACTGAGTCCTAATCATTAGGTACATTGACTTGATACATTTTGAAAATTTCTGATTATGTGTTTATCCAATCAAAAAAATATTTAAAAAAAAGTAAAGAAAAAATTTCAGAAAAACCCAAAGAGACGAAAAGGTGGAAAATGTGTAGGAAAATGTAAGGGATTCAGGCAATGTAGTGAGAAGGTAAATAAATACATGTAAGGAGCATCCCAGAAGGAGAGGAGAAAGAATGGAGCAGAACAAAAAAAAAAAAACAAAAACAAACCCACAAGGCCAAATAGGATGACATGTCAGAACCTCAAACCCAGTGAATGAGTCTGTTTTGTGTCCCCAGGGTCAGGCACATGATGGCTGACCCTGGTGCTACAGAAGGCAGCTTTTCATCCAGTTGCAGAAGAACCCAGCTAAGGCCAGGAGAAAAACATAATTCTTCTGAGGATTTGCTGCCTGGATCTTTTCCAATATGTATTTTTTCCTCTGGTAAAAGTTCAGGGCTATAAGGCGTGTTCATTCCAGTCAGAAAGTTGGCAGCTTGATCAATGATTTCCCGTGCCTTGATGATAAATGGTTTTCCTATTTAAGAGATAAATTTGTATTTTGAATGTTCAATGCCCTTTGATTTCTTTATAATAGAATTTCATTCCAATTAATTTCCTAACCGGGACCTCTTCTAAGGCTTTTGGCCAAAGCAAATTCTGCTAATGGGGAATAACAGAAATTTCAGGAAAATCATGTGCTTCTCAATTTAAGTCACAGATGAGGCCTTGGAGATCGTCTGGTCCGGCATTTCCATTTTATAGATCAGGAAATGGGGTCCCCAGGAGGGAGGAAGCAGCATGTGCAGGATCACGTCGCCACTTCTGACTCTTTTCCACTGGAGTGACCTCTACTGAGGGGTGTGAGGAGAGTATCAATGACTTTTCCAAGATTTGTCATGTTAAGAGCCTGTCAAGACAAATTCTAGTGCCTACCAGATGTGCAGGTTGTCAGTAGGTACATATATTTTTAGAATTTTCAGTTTTGTGTGCTAGATATGTAGACTTTTTTTTTTCATCTTAAACTAGGAAGTTTTATGGTTTATTAATAGTCTCTGCTTTTTCTCATAAAAGTCCTACATGTTCACTTGGTGGGACAGAGGTTGGTGAGCTATGTCCTGTAGACCAGATGGGACTTCCTTTTGCAAGTCAAATTTTATTGGCACACAGAAATGGCCATTAATTTACTTATGGTTTGGATATGAAAAAAACCCTCCTGTGTTAATATAGGAGGTGAAAGGATTAGACTATGAGAGCCATAACTTAATCAGTGGATTATTGCATTTCATGGCTTAATGTTTTGAATAGATTACTGGGTGGTAACTGTAGGGAGGTGGGGGTAGCTGGAGGAAGTGGATCACTTGGAGTGTGCCTTTGGGGTTTATATTTTGTTCCTGGTATTTCAATCACCCTGTTTCCTGGCTGTCATGGGCTGAGTAGTTTTCCTCTGCCACAAATGTTCTGCCTCACCAGGTCTAGAGCGATGGAGTCAGCCAAACATGGACTGAACCTCTGAAACTGTAAGCCCTAAATAAACTTTTCCTCCTTTAACTTGTACTTGACAGATATTTTGGTCATAGTGGCACAAAACTAACACACTTACCTTCTATTGTAGCAGAGTTGAATAGTTGTGGCTGAGAACTCATGGCATGTAAAATCAAAAATACTTACTCTCTGAACCTTTACAGAGAACATTTGTCAAACCCTGATGCAGAACATCTGAAAACTTATAGGAAATTCACACCAGGAGAATGATTATCCATATCTCACCCCCAGAGACTGAGGTTGATTCTAGCTTTACCATTGTCATGGCTAACAATTTTGAGAAGCTCTGATTATTTCCCAAGAATAAATCCCTAGAAATGGGTTTGCTGATCCAGTGAGTGTGAATGGCTTGCACAAGTGGGTACTTTGAACACAAGTTCATTTTAGCTCACATGAATAGCAGTGGCTGTACCTGGCCAACATTAATCAAACAAAATGATCAAGAACTCTTTTGCTAACAGATTTGGTTTTGCTTCCGTGGATTTAGGGGCAGATTCAAGGCGGTGGTCTGTGTCCTGTCTGTGGTTACAACATGCCTGGCGTTTGTCAAGCCCGCCATCAACAACATCTCTCTGATGACTCTGGGGGTTCCTTGTACTGCGCTGCTCATCGCAGAGCTGAAGAGGTGAGTGCCACTATTCCTGCTCACCCCTTGGGCTGTCCCTGTAATGGGAACATTTAGCTCTGTGTTCCTTTGTTTCCTCCAGCTTGGAAGAGAAATGTTCTGTATGAAGAATTAGTTCCTGACTGATTGGAACAGGTTTGATGCTCTGGTACAAAATGTGAATGATCTCATTTTCAGAAAGAGGGGAGTGGCTGTTTAGTGGTGTCATACATCCTAATGATCAAAAGCTAGCTTATCAGGGCTGGGATGTAGCTCAGTGGCAAAGCGTCTGCCTTGCATTGGCAAAGCCCTGGCTTTGACCCCCAGTTCCAAAAAAGACAAAAAAAAAAAAAAAAATAAGATTAAGTGCCAAGACCAAGCTGTTGACTTAATTCTGTAGAAAGAAGAGTACATTAGTCCATATGACAGGTTTAAGGAGAAAAGAGAAGTAGGGGTCATTGTGTTCACATACACAGGAAGAATAGGAAGGGGGAGGGAAAGTGACTCTGTGTATACAAGGAAACATAAACTTGGTGAATGGGCTGAGATACTTTCTCAGGCTTAGTGTCTCCAAGGCTCAGGCTCATTATTTGCATAAGCATTTTCCTTTGGGAAGTTGTAAAATCCAGGGCACAGGTGGATATCTAAAAACATTTAGTTTAGCACTTGTGTGTACATGACTTTTCTTCTCACCTCATCTAAAGTACAAGTAATCACTGCCCTTACTTTAATATTTGTTGGAACATTTCTTTTTCTTTGCAGCCACTTTAAAAAAATACACCTTAATTCACACTTTGCTCATTGTTGTAGACATTGAGTTTGTTAACCAAAGTCTCAATCTATCTCCCTCTGCGCACTAGTTGCTCTGTGCAATGTGTTTAGTCAGCTTTCTGTCCTTGCTTAGAGAGGAGTTATATACATTGCTTTCCAATTTCCTGGCTCCAGGGTTTGCTTTGATGGGCAGCAATAACTCAGGGCCTTAGTTGGCTGATGAGGGATTTGAACTTGCTGCCTGGCAGGTAAAGAATGCTGTCAGATCTCTAGTTGGCTTCTTTGAGTTGCCTTCAAGGACTGGCGATGTAAGAGACTCATTTCAGAAGCAGGCTGCAAGTTGATTCTAGAAGAATAACTATGGTAGTGAGTGCTATGAGTGAAAAAACAGATAATTGAGTAAATTACAAAGGATTTAGTCCCTACATCCTAATAACCTTAATTTTAAAAGTCCCCTTTCTGACTGGGGGTATAGCTCAGTGGTAAGTGTGTGCTTAGTGTATGCAAGGCCCTGGGTTGATCCCCAGCACCAAAAATAAATTAAATCAATCAATAAATAATCAACTTTCTATTTCATTAGTGTAATATTGCCTATTAGAAATAGAAGGGTTCTTAGCAACCTCAACTCTGCTTATTCCGTATACTCACTCTACAGTTGTTTGAGTCCTAAATAAGTGTCAGCTGTCATGGTTCTTGACAGGAAAGTCGTGGGAACCATTCAGGCAGTACATTTGCCAAGTACAGATACTAGCTCTGCTCATGCATTGGTTTTGATTTGGGAGGTCAGGGTGGGGGCTGTTATCCGTAGATTAAAAAGCTCAAAAACCTGGTCAGCTGGGGCTTGGGTGAGGGTAGGAGTGGCCTCCGCATGTAAGGAGTTAGTCGGGGAAGGTCTCAGCTACTATTAGTATGACTGCTAATAAGCAAAGTGTTTCTTTTTAGAATGTTAGACATAAATCATTAAATTAGGTTGTGATGATTGTCAAAAAACTCTGAATAAATGAAAAGTGAACTATATACTTTAAATGGGTGAATTTTATAGTATGGGAAACATGGCTGAGTAAAGCCATGGACAAAAATAAAAAACAAACAAACAGAAGCTCTCCAGAATGTGCCCTGTGATTCTGTGTGGTATCTACTTCAGACTGATCTGAGCTGCACGTTTCAGGAAGAGGGTGTTTAGCCTTCTGGAGACAGCACTTTCCCCACTTCTGGGTGGCACACTGGGATCAGATCATAAAGAAACATAAAGAGGAGGAATTTGTGGTCGTCAGTAAATAACTGGCCATCTTACCAACAAATGTAATGCTGAGTAAGTCTGAAGTAACAGAATACCATCAAGCCGTGTTTCTTCTCATGCAGGAAGTTTTCAGTGAAGCTCTCTCACCCTTTAAGGTATCTAAAACTCGGTTATCACTGAGGCCTTTGTTTGGAAGCCCTTTTGCCACTGTTGTGCGTTTGCCTAGAGCTGAGCATATCTGCCCAGTGGCCTTGATGACTGGCTGAGATCCAGGTTACTTGCTGTAGCTGTGGGACAAAATGACTTTCTTCCGTTTTTAAAGAGTGTCTCTATCTCCATGGCCCCTCCTTCTTAGCTACTCATTTTCAAGTGTCTTGTAATATGTCTTCCTTTTCTATCTTTTTTTTTTTTTTGGGAGGGGGGTAATCAGGGACTGAACTCAGGGGCACTCAACCACTGAGCTACATCCCTAGCCCTATTTTGTATCGTATTTAGAGACAGGGTCTCACTGAGTTGCTTAGCGCCTTGCTGGTGCTGAGGCTGGCTTTGAACTCACAATCCTCCTGCCTCAGCCTCCTGAACTGAGCCGCTGGGATTACAGGTGAGCACCACTACACCTGGCTCTCTCCCTATTTGAGTCTGAAATGTAAAATTAATATATTGTAGTACTTCCAACAATGCTTGGTGCATAGCACTAAATAAACATGGCTAAACCTGTCATTTGGTGATAATGACTGTTAGCTTTTGTTGTATGCTCTTCCAGCTTTTTTATTCTTTGCCATCTTATCTGTCTTAAAAAAAAATGTACCTGGGCACAGTAGCACAGGCTTATATTCACAGCTACTCAAGAGGCTAAAGCAGGAGGATCACAAGTTCCAGGTCAGCCTGGGCAACTTAGATCCTGGATTCAAAATAAAAAGGGATGGGGATGTAAATCCCTCTGGGTTCAGCTGTCATTTCTGCGTGATTCTCTGCAGTCCATCTTCATCTGTTTTTTCTGGAGTCCTTTCTCCTGATTCCAGCTACCTGCTGGGTAGCCTCAGTTAGACTCCTGTTTCCTGCACTGCTTTTCATGATCATTGCTTGGCACTGTGCCCTGTCTGCTCTGCCTATCTCCTCACTATGCTTCTTGTTACCAATATTAGTTAGCTTTTCATCACTGTGACTAAAATACCCAACAAGAACAACTTAGAGGCGTTTATTTTGGACCACGGTTTTAGAGATTTAGTCTGATTTGGTGGGTCAGCTCCATTGCTCGGAGCCTGAGGTGAGGCAGAGCCTCATGGTGGAAGGGTGTGGTGGAGGAGTGCTGCTAGGCTCAAGGTGGCCAGGAAGCCAGGGGTGGGAGGGGCCACAGGGAAGAGATATCCTTCAAGGGCACACCTGAGTGACCCACCTCCTCCAGCCATGCCCCACCTGCCTACTGTTACCACCCAGTCAGACATTCAAACTAGGATGGACTGATTTGGTTACAGGTCTCAGAATACATAATTTCAACTTTGAATATTCCTGCATCAACACAGGAGCTTTGGAGGAGCACCTCATTCAAGCCATAACATTTACCCTTCCCAAATCCCATTTAAAAGTTCCCCGAATTATTTTAATGCTCACTATTTTCCAGTCCTGTGGACTTGAAAATTGGGTTCCTTAGTCTCCTGCCACCTTAAACCACTAAACTTGATGGAATCTTCTTCAGTGTCTCATCTGTCAGTCCCCTCCCTGCCATTCCTATTGTCCCACCCTCCCACCTCTCCAGTGGCCACTGCATTTGTGTTGTAATAGCTCTTTTCTTCCTCCAGTTCTCTATCTTAAGAGGGGTCTTTTTCATGGTACTCTCTCTCCTTGGTACAAAAGTCTTCAATGGCTTTGTATTGTCCAAGTTTCCCTTAGGGCCTATTCTGCCTCTGGCTCCTTATATATGCCCCATGGCCAACCAGTCTGAATAGGTTCCTTGCTTTCTTGCCTTTAGATTCCCCCTCATATTTTCTTCTCCCTCTGTTTTTTTTTTAATATATTTTTTATTTTTTAGGTGTAGATGGACACAACACAATGCCTTTACTTGTATGTGGTGGATCGAACCCGGTCCTGCCTATGCTAGGCGAGCCCCCTACCGCTGAGCCACAATCCCAGCCCTATTCTCCCTCTGGAATGCCCTTCCCCCCTACTACTATGCAGAGCCTCCTACCCTGCAGCCAGCTCCTTCCTGAGGCCTCTCTGGACTTCTCTCCTCAGCCAGATGTGATTGTTCTCTTCCTAAACTCTTGGTGCTTTTATATAGTATTTAGAATATTCTACCTTGAATGTAGATTTGTGTCTCCAACTTTCCTTCTCTTCTTCCTCTCTGATATTGTGTTGTCCCAAGGCAGAAATCATGCTTTGTAACTGTGAATTTTCCAGAGTGCCCATTACTCTGAAAATTTTAAAGATTGCATTTTAGCTTGCTAGGAAGCATTAACTTCTCATTACAGAATTCATCCCTTCAGTGGAAAGTACAGAAGGAACATGAGTTTGGGGACTAGAGAGCTTAGTTTGAGTCTCGGTTCTGGAAATTCTGGGCATTTACTTCACGTACTTTGGACATACTGGCACTATTGATATGGAGGATAATAATGCTTAGGTCTCAGTGAGACCTAAATAAGCCTATTTAGTCTAATATCTGTAACATGGTAGTTACTTAACAAACACTAGTTGCCTTTTCTTTTGCTTGGCTGTATGTTTCAGCAAGGGGAGCTCAATTAACTTAAAGAGAAATGTCCTTCTCTTCTTATTTATTAGGATCTTTTAGCAATCCTATTTTTATTATTAAGGAATTCTCCCTACTGTCCCTGGGGTAGAGATGTTAGTGAAGTGACTTTTCTGTATAATGATGGTGGACTATGAGTAAACTGGCTCCTGAGGTACCTTCCTCTAGCCAGCCTTGGATATGAACGGATCTTGAAAACATGTGATTAAATTGCTAGTGATGGGCTGGGGATGTGGCTCAAGTGGTAGCGCGCTCGCCTGGCATGCG